ATCAATCCAAGCAACATGAAAATTATTCTCTTTTAATTTTCAATCATAATAAATTGGAATCCGATGAAATAACTGAATATGTATATTTAATTGATTATCACGGAAAAAGGAACAACAATCTGTGTATTTACTCAAAAAGAAAAATACTTACGCAAGTGTCGTGGAAGTTGAACAAATTAATCAAGTTTTACAGATTCACATGGGATATAAAATTGATAATTGGGTAAGACATAGCAAAAAACGAGACTACAAAAAAAGAATCATATATAACATAAAACATATGTCGAGTTTCAAGTGTAAAAGGAACCAATTATTCAACATTATTGTATTATTAAAAATATATAAGTGGTTGGACTATTTGGATATTTTTTTACGTTAGATACCGATAAGAAATCCAAACCGTATAAGTAATCAATTCGGATTCAGCAGGAATGTCCAAGTCTGATCTATATTGGAACTTCCATAGTATTGTCACATTTGAAAACCAATTTGTATATTAGTGTTTCGACAAATTTCATATAATTATAGGTTTTCATATGAATTTTTAAAGCCTATATTTATTACGTATAAGCTCACCAATCAAGTTGTTATATGCAATGACATAATGTGGATGATATTTTGTTACTGACGGAGGAAAGGCCATGACGAATCAATGAATTGAATTATTTTCCTATAGCCTGCATTTTTTGTAAACCATCAATCGTGCATGGTAAGAGTTTAGACTTTTATTCTAGGATTTAACATTTCTAATCAAAGAAATTGATGACATAGTGTTACTCAAAATATCAAATTTTTAAATTTAGGTTTTGATGCTAGAGTATAAGATTTATGACTGATGTATTGTTATTTATGACTGATGTATTGTTTTCAATGTTTACGTACATTTGTGAGAGTTTAGGGTTCCATGTTAGGGTTTAGTACCCCTTAATTTTCAAAAACTTTGATGGTATAATGTTAATAAATAATTTTAAATATTTTCTAAAACATTAATAAAAATTATAAATCGATAAAAACATTTACGACAGTTAAAAATAATGAATATGAGTATTAAAAAAAGAGATCTATATAAATGTTCTCTCGCGCAGGACGCGGATACTATGCTAGTTATAGTAGTAAGTGAATTTGACTTCTTTTAAAGTTAGTTCAGAATTGTTACATGCATTTTGGAGGTGTTTACCTCTTAGTGGGATGGTTTAAAGTTTTCTATGTATGAAATTTTATATACTCCAGGATGGGTTAAATCTTTTGAATAATAATTTATAATTCCAAGTTTTACTTTTTTTTATAAAAATAATAATACTTCCCAAGTTGGTGACAAAAAAACACCTTGAACCTAAAATCCTCAAAGCGACATCGATGGCACGTTTAGTTCCATGTGAAAACGAATGACTAGTGCCTTAAGTTTGTATTATTATTCAACAAGATTTGCTAACATTCACAAGAAAAAAACTGATCATGAACCATAAGTCCTTATGAGATAGATCGAACCGAGGTTTTTTTTTGTTTGGGATTTCGTACATTCTTTAGATGATTGAAGCTTTGAAGGCATCGAGGCAGCTTGCAGTAGTGAGTGATCTGTCCCAAAACTTGTCCCAATACTCAACAAATGGAAAACTTTTGTAAACAGCAAGAGAATCTTTTTCATTGATCAGCTCCTTTGCAGGCTCAATCACTGCATCTGTAGATGGAAAATAGAATGTCGGAATCGATAAACGCTCCTGCTCGGTGTTCACTATAGCTCTATGAAGCACACTCTTGTATTTATCATTGCTTATGACCTTTAAAAGAAGGAAACACAATTACACAATTTAGAACTATAGGTGTGAGAAAACAGAGGAGTTATCAAAATAGAAAAACAGAGGCATTTGTTTTGTTTTGTTAACTTAACCTGCATTTGGTCGCCGATGTTGACGATGAAAGTGTTGGGAATAGGTTTAACAGCGACCCACTTATCCTCCTTAAAGACTTGCAAACCAGAGACTTGGTCTTGGAGAAGGACAGTGATAACGGTTGGGTCTTTATGTCCTGGAAGTCCATAAGTTAGCTCAGGCTCGGGACACGGCGGATAATAGTTAAAGGCCATGTGTTGAGCATGTTGGCCTAGTCTGTTGCTTATATGGTCCCTTTCAAGGCCTAAGCTCTCTGAGATGGCTTCAAAAAGTCTTAGCACCAAAGCTCTTACGCCTGTAGCGTATTCGGCTGTGACTTCTCTGAAAGAGACGGGATTAGAGGGCCACTCTTCGATGAAATCTTCGATAGGAAAGCAATGGATTCGAAGGTAGTCTCTCCAGTTCATGATTTTGTCTGCGCTGACATTGAAACTGGTGGATACTCTTGTCGTCTTTGTTGGATCCGCCGAGTAATGTTTGACCCTTTCGCTCTCCGGTTGATGGAAAAACTCTCTTGCAACGGTTAGCATTTTTTCGATGGTAGTATCTGGTACTCCATGATTCTTGATCTGGAACGTAATGAACAAGAAAATCTTGAAACAAAAGTAAACGTATTGTGCAATACAACAAGTTTAAATTTGAAACAGAGTAAACAGAGTTTATTGATATTGCAATAAGAACATAGTAAAAAAAAAAAAATTTATAAACCATGGGAGTTCCGAACATTTGGTTCATAATTAAAAAATAACCCTCCATACTAAAGAGGTTTGAAGTCTGGACACAAAGGAACCAACCCCTTTGTGTTACCACTAGACTAACATAGTAAAACTTGAAACAAAGTAAATTTAAAACGCCGTGTACTGCACAATAAAATAGAGTAAAAAT